CTCTCTCTGGTGAACTCACAAGTCCTAGAGCTAATTAAAAAAAATAATAATAAACATTAAATAAAACATTTTTTAAAAAAAGAATGGTTTTATTTAACTTTATTCATTCATTTATTTATTTTCATTTGACCAGAGAGGAACAGAGCGAGAGAGAGAGAGAGAGAGAGTAAGAAAGCAGGCCACTAGGTCCAGACCTCGAACCACGGTCAGCCATGTGGGAGTCCAGCGCCTGTAACCACTATACCAACTGCCGGCCCCAAATAAAGCTTTGTAAAAAAGAGAAGGCAGTAAAATAATTGGGAGGCAGTGAGTTTTGAGAACTAGCGACCTTGGGTTTTGTTTTGTTTCTTTTTTTCACTATAGGGCGTGTGCACTCGCTCGAAAGACAGAGAGATAGAAAGCAAGAAATCACCCCCCAGGGGGGATGGCCACGCCGCAATCCCTTCTCCTCCATTCTCCTCTTGGGATCTTGGGCACGCACACACATGCACCTGGCGTGAAGCCACTGGGTCTGGGACTTGAACCGCGGTTGACTACGTGGGAGTCCAGCGACATAGCCATTACGCTAACTGCTGCCCTTGTTTTGTTTGTTTTTAATGGCCAGGTTGTGTGTGTGTGTGTTAGCCAGAGACAGATAGAGGGGGACACAGCAGAGAAGAAAGACCCCATAATGAGGTGTAGTCATGCTGCAATCACTTCCATCATCCTGTCAGGATTTGGGGTACACACACATGCATCCAGTGTGGTTTTTCAAGCTGCCAGGGCTGGGATTCTAACTGTGGTTTGTCACATGAGACCTGGTTCCCTTAATCACTGGATCACTGGGCTATAGGTCAGCCTCTTCTTGCTTTTTTTTTTTTTTTTGCCCTCCCCAGTTGTTTTGTTTTGTTTTTGCTATAGGGCGCATGCACTTACCAGAGAGAGACAGCAAGAGAGGAGCTAGAGAGAGAGAAAGTGAGAAATAACCCCCTGAAGTTGCACTGTAATCCCTTCTCCTGCATTCACCCCCTAGGGATCTGGGGCATATGTACACATGTACTTGGCATGTTTCTCAAGCTGCTGGGTCAGGACTCAAACTGCTTAGTCAGCTACGTGGGATCCAGCCTCCTTAACCACCATGCCACTGGTTGGCCCCTCTCCTTGGTTTTTAATATAAAATAGGGGCCAGCAGGTGGCATAGTGGTTAAGGTGCTGGACTCACATGGCAAACTGTGGTTCGAGTCCTGGACCTAGTGGCTTGAAACTCATACCAGCATGTGTGTTTGCGTGCCCAAAACTCCGAGAGGAGGATGGAGAAGGGATTGCAGTGTGGCCATCTCCCCAGGGGGTGATTTCTTGCTTTCTGTCTCTCTGTCTCTCTGGTGAATGCATGCATCCTATAGCAAAAATCTCTCAAAAAACAGAATGAAATAGAATATTGCTATGCTATAATTATTAAACAACCGAGTCACGAAATCTTAAAGTGCTGACTGACAGCTGCTCCAGGCAGAGGTCCAAACTGGTCCTCGCACACCTCTGCGCTCCTCCTCCTGCCTGGTCCTCCCCGCCCTTGAATGTCACTAGCCTGGATCGACCTTTCCATCCATTCAGCAAACATGTCCCCCCCATGCCCACCTGCCAGCTCTCTGAGATCCCCTCCCACCGCCTGTGGAGGAGGTCTGGGGTCCCCCCCGCTGGACAGAAGAGGAAACCAAGGCTCAGAGCGGTGACCTCGCCTGCCCCAGGTCACACATGGGGATGTGGGATTGGAACCCAGGCCCGAAAACCTTGTTCTCGCCACAATGTCACGCCATCCTTGAGATCACTGTGGGGTTCTGGGGGAATCCCATGCTCCTAAGTCTCCTCACTGGTGACCTGCCCTGGGGCCTGGAAGTCCCCATGAGTCACCCTTGTGGCTCCCGGTTGCTGAGGAAACACACTGTTTCTTAGGAGGGTGACAGAGAAGAGCCCAGCTCCCACGTTGCAAAAAGCAGGACGCCTCAGAACTGGGGCCTAGGGCACAAAGGTGGGGAACAAGGTGTGGGGCTTTCTGGAGCCCTGGCTGCACACCCAGCCCTCTGCCAGCCCTTCACTGCATTGTCTTCTGCAGGCCTCACAACCCCATGACGGGGTGCAATGATGGACCCCTTCTTCCTCCAGGAAAACTGAGGCGCAGCCGCTGAACCGGGTGCCCCTGCAGGTTGCATTCTGTTGACGTCAGCTGCTGGCAGGGAGGAAGGAGGGCAGATAGGAAATGGGGGGCAGGGCTGGCAGGCTAAGTTGACTCCGGGTCCCTCGTCCCTTCCAGTCTGTGAGTGGCTCATTCAGCAGGCCATCAGGGCAGGGGCTCCCCAAAGCCTTCCTCCACCCAGATCCCACCCCCATCTGCCACTCAACCAAGTCACAGATGGTTGAGGAACTTGCCAGGGGCAGTGTTGGGCCCTGGGGTGCCAGTCAGGATGATGTGCCCGGGACAGAGGGGCGCAGATGAACCCAGCGGTCACCCGGGAAAAGGCCAGATGATGGCTGGCCGAGAGCCCGGAGGAGGGGGCTTGGGGGCTCTGAATAGAGGGAAGAACCTTGCAGGTGTTGAGAGTGGCCCAGGGCAGGGTGGCTGGAAGGGGCCGAGCAGCTGCAGGGAGGCCGAGTGACGGTGAGGCCCTGGGCCCGAGTGGGTACTGTTGACCTTGGCCATGGCGGTACCTCATGGTGGCAGCTCACTCCCGTGTGCTAACTGGGGGCCGTGCATGCTGAACTCCGCTCGCGTTTTCTCACTTAATCCTCACCCTGTGAGGCGTGTTCTATTTTTTTTTTTTAACGTTTTGCTATAGGACATGTGCACTAACTGGAGACAGAGACAGAGACAGAGGCAGACAGAGGCAGAGAAGGAAAGTGAGAAAGCACCCTCCCCACACCAGGGGCGGCCACGCGGCAATCCCTTCTCCTCTAGTTCCTCTTGCGGCTTTGGGCACACGCAGATGCCCAGTGTGATTTTCTTTTCCTTTTTCCTTCCTTTTCTTTCTTTCTTTTCCTCCCTCCCTCCCTTCCTTCCTTCCTTCTTTCTTTTTCTTTTTCTCTTTTTTAAAAAGAGGTTTTTGCCTTAAGGAGTGTGCTCCTGCTGGGGAGAGAGACAGAGATAGTGAGAGGGAAAGTAAGAAATCACCCCCAGGGGGAGGGCCACACCACAGTACCTTTTCTTCCATTCTCTTCTCAGGATCTTGGGCACACATGCACACAGACCCAGCGTGACTTTTCAAGCCACTGGGTCCAGGACTCGAACCATGATCGGCCATGTGGGAATCCAGCGACATAACCACCATGCCATCTGCTGGCCCCCCACTGTGCTTTTCAAGCTGCTGGGTTTGAG